GTTGGGGCAGGCGCCTGCCACACGCGTGGGTGAAGAGTCTGCCCCTGCCTTGCACATACCTTCCTCTGAGCCAAGGAAGAAGGGAATGTGTTTGCATCAGCATATTCTTTCCAATCTTACTACAGATGTTTTGGTGCCAGGCTCCTCCCCTCTACTGAGTCCACTGCAATCTCAGCCTACAAAGGGAACAACTCAGAGACAACACAAAATCCAACAGCCCCACTCCTTTCCTTGTGCTTTGGTAAAATTAAATTCAGGACTGAGCATCTTCCTGCTTCAACAGTGGAAAAAAGGTATTGAGTAACATGGGCTAAAACCAGAAGATTACTTTGTGGAGAAATTTGGCTGATTCCACACAGGAAAATTCCAGATGAACACAAATATCCCAGAAGATTCATAACCAATACTAGAAGCCAGCATCATGTGTGCCTTTGAGTGCCAAGTGAGGGAGGTCCATTGATGTTGGCCAAGGATTTGGCAGGGCCCGCACCTCAGAATTTATCAAGAAACTTTGAGTTCTGCAATTAATTTAGCCCAGCACAAAGGACAGCTAGTCCAGGAGAAGAAAGAGAAATATCTATAAATGAGTTTGTACAGCAAATGTCTAATTTAAATTACATCCATATGTTAAAGTTATTTCTGTACTGCTGTTTGCTTCTAGCTTCCAAGACCTACATCTAACTAATAAAACCAGAAAACACGTAGCATTTACAGGTACTGTTTCCTGTAGAGACACAAGCTCTCCTTTGTACAGTCACATGCACTTTTCACACAACTGCCACACACTGCAGCGAGACAAACTGCCCCGAGGCCAGAGCAGCTGCAGAGAAGCTGCTTGTTCACCTCACAAAGAATCAGCAGGACTGGACCAAATGAGCCCAGATACTTTTCTAGGCTCTTTGTCTACTGTTGTGCATCACGTGGATGTTCTGTCATGAACTGACTGTAAGAACAGCTTAAGCAGTGCGGCTGTTTAAGTGGGAGATGTACTTGGGTTCCACCATGCAGTAGGGTTCTTACTGCAGAACTGAGGGCATGATATCACTGCCTGAAGAAATGGGCAGCAAGAACTGCTCTGTTTCACTTCTCTGTGTGAACAGCATCAGCAAAGCCTTTGAGGCATCTAGTTAAAGAAGTGCCAGTCCTGGACTAGATGCTTAAGTCTGTGTTCAAGTGAAAAAAGGAATTTGGCATTTCCAGTTCTGCAGCCTCAAAATGCCTTTGGTGCAGAAAGTAAAAAAAAAAATTCATGTAGTATTTGATAGAAGGAAAGGAACCGGCAACATATGAAGCTTTTTTGGTATTTAAAAAAAAAAAAATATGGCAGCAGTAATCTCTAGGAAAGGGGTTAGCAAAACTTGTAGAAATAATCATAAAACAACTGCTCTGAACTGGTCAGAGCTCGCTGCCGTCTGTGTGTACCAGGTGCCTCCCGGGAACGCAGGAACCGAGTGGGCACCACGAGTTTGGTTGGCAGCTGTGGGGAATACTGCCTGCAGAAAAGACACACAATGGTTTCTGAACAGAAAACCTTAATTCTATACTCTTGCATTTCCAAAAGATTCTGAGGTTGGGAGCTGAGGGGAGTGGTTGCAGTGGAATGGGGCAGCTCCTCAGGGTGTTAGGAAGGACGTGACACTTTGGGTGCAGAAACAACAGCATGAGGAAGGTAGGGCCTCATGGTACCCTGGGGTTCCAGCTGCACATCAGTGTTAAGCCAGTGATCAGCTTGATGTTTCACACAAACCAGCAAGGTGCACACATCAGCCTGTGTGTTCATGTACACACATGTGCTTTCTTTGAAGAGGAGCAGAAGTAACAGACTTGACTGGCTATGAGCAAGGCTGGAACCACAGGCTCTGGTTCTGCAGGAAAAGGAAACTGAACAAATCCACCTCTCCTTGCAGCTTTTAGTAGCAAGGGCTTATTGCTCTCCCAGCACGGCAAATGATTCCACACAAACATGAGAACTCAGAGCTGAGCATATCGCTCCCCATTAGATCCAACTCCCTCTAAATACCACCCTGCCTTTCAAACATTACTAGGCTTGGGCACAAGTCCCCCATGAAGACACAGCCCAGAAAGCAGATCAGGCCAGTCCTGGCCAACAAGGCAGCAAACAAGCTGTATCTTTTTTATTTCCAGAGCAAGCAGAAGTTAATGAAGCACTGTGCAGGTTCCCAGAGAAGTGCTCCTCAGCAGCCACCTCAGCAGGCCCTAGACCTACCCAGCAGCATCTCCCCCGTGGTTCTTTTCCTCTCTCAGAAGCCACTGACAAAGAAAGAGGATGAAATGCAGAGACAAACCTGGCTTCCCTGTGCACTTGCCTGCCTGGTTGTGCCATTGGAGCCACACAAGAACTTTCCATACCTGTGGAACAAGACCAGGCTGCACCCAGTTCACCAAGCTGCTCTGGGTGGGCTCCCTCCTGCCAGGGCCACCATGTCTGCTCCCAGTGTCACCCCACCAACGCACACTCCACCAACAGGCTTCGGATTCAACTCTCTTTTGATGAACCTTGGAAGGTGTAAGAGGTCCAGGCTGAAAACAAAAAAAGGCAAACGAAAGAATTTAATGCAGCAGCATTTATCCCATGTGGTTCTGGTTTGATTTTTTAGCTTAAAAGCTTCTTATTGTCTCGTTCATTTGCCCCCAAGTGACGGATTTGTCCTTATATATAATTCCTGGCCAACTTACAAGGTATCTGATGTCAGAGGTGAGGGGGCCAGTGTCAGCCCAGAGTAGAACTGGGACTGTGTCCAACCCCCGACTGGGAGACCAGAGCTTTTCAAGGTGCCAAACTGCAACCAGGGCATTGCTTCCTCACCATGTCAGTTTTATTAATCATTAGCTACTATAAGCCTTAAACCTTTATCTTCAGATTACAACAAATTACTTTGCTGGCAAAGGCTATGAAGGAGATGTTTACCCTGCACTCTTCCTGGACAAGTTCTGTAGGCAAAAAGAACTGTGATCAACTATTATTAAATTGTTTTTAACTTGAGAAAAAAAAAAAAGCTAACAACTTTTAGGAAACAAAGAGACACATAAAATTTTTACTATTCCCAGTCCTAACAGGTGGTTCTGGGCTTCTCTTCTACAAGACACCAAGTCACCATGTCAAGAAAGATGATAACCAGAGTCAACTATTTACAATAAAGTTTCAAGGTTAGGGCTGGTTTTTGTAAAGTTCCTCAGAAGTTACAGAAAAACTGCCTTAATAACATCCTATTTATGGATTTACCATAAATTTAATTCAATTAATAAAAAATAATTTCAAATATATATTTTAATAAATTTATTAAACAATTTAATTGTAATAAATGCCATCTCACAGCACAAGCAGAAGGATTTCTGGGAGAGTGCCTGCTTTAATTCAACAATTTGAAAGAATCAGCTTGGAACAGCTTGGCTAAACATCAGCCAGTGCTTCGCTTTCATTCTCTTCTGGTTCAGAATGTTTTCCAGGAGCAAGGGAATTGACTAACTCAAAACAAATTAAAAAAAGCTTCAAGAACCCTCAAATCTCTTTAGACCTTTTTTGCTACCAACTACAGTGAAGAAACAAGTCTCAGTCTTTTCCTTTTGATCATCACTTTGGTACTTGAAGCCAAGATTCCTCTTTTCTACGTCTGAGCAGATGATTTCTGTGTATTTCATTACCCACTCACTTGACTGGAGTGTCATTTTGGAGAAACTGAGCTCACACTGGGTCAAGCACTGACTGGTGGCTTCTGTTGTCTGTGAGCAGGCCTGAACTTTGACTGTTCCACTTGGCACTCGGGCTGTAAATCAACAGGGAAAAGCCTCCCTCAGCAGGCTGAGAGTGAGCTTCAGTCACACGGTTTGCCCCCTCATTTACCTGGAAATGAGACTAATGGAACTTTATTCCTCCACCGCAATACATCCTCTCAATTCCAAGTACGTCATGAAAAACAACCTTTGACAGATAGAGAGGCTGGAGTTTACCACCACCACACCTTGACCCAAATCATTCATTTACAGGCTGCATCTGTGGTCACTGGCAGGTTCAGCAAATGAAGCATTAGCTGAAGTAGGGCTAGTTAAAACAAACTTGCAAATGAGATTTTACCAACTGTGAAGAGCATCTTTATTAAACTCCTGGTGTGCTCATCTCTTCACTACCTTCTTTTTTTCCAGGTAGACCATGGATTGCTGGAAGGGAGCTGGAGGCCACAGCTGGATTTATCCCACGCTGATCATCTGTGCAAATGGATTTTTCTCCACAATGAGGCCGTCGGAATCTTTTCTCATTCCTTATCTAACTGGACCAGACAAAAACCTGACGATTGAAGAGGTGGGTAACTATTGTCTTAAGTAATAATTAAAAAGCATACAGCATTAAGTCTCACAGCAGTAACTGAAGGGGAGCTGAAATGTTCAGTAACACAGATATTTTATGTAGAGACCCATAGGTACGATGCTTCTGGAAAAAGAGTAAGGGCTCCCCTCTTTGGCAGGGGATCAAAACTTTAAAATTGGTACTTCAAGGACTTTGAAATGGCTTTGGTGTCTGTTTAGGAAACTATTTTCAGCATGATCAGGGCAGCTAGTTCCTCTCTCCACCAAGAACCCCAGAGAAATGGCAACACTAAGATTTATGCTTACTGTGGAACTGAGGACACTGACAGCAACAG